ACCAGAGCAGCTGCCTGAGTTTCCAAGAAAAAGACTAGATGCTGCATAGTTTCTAACCAGGATGACAGTTCCTCCACAGGAAGTTGCTTCTATTAATTTGTTTAAAAAAAAAAATCTCTTTTTTTGCACGGCTCCATCTATCGGTCATCTGGCTGCACTGTGGAGTTTTGCAGATCCTGGGTTTTTCATCCTACAGTGTGCCTGGAACTTAGGATTGCTCTGAACTTTTGCCTCTGTTGGATATGGAACTTACTGGACAGCGGCTCACTTGATGGCCTGTGCAGAAGATCTCTAGATGTGGAGGTACTTCTCTCCAGAAAGCATGGACTTCGCAGGGTGATTGCCCTCCAAAAGATGCAGTGTGCAAAAAAAGGAAAAAGGGGAGTCCTGCAACCAGGAATCTTGCTTGACTCCGTTATCTCAGCCCAGATGACCCTGAACTACAGCAGTGTCATCTGTTACCTGAGGTTCTGATATGGAGAATTCGATTGGTTGCTTCCTCCTAAAACACATCACTCAAACCACTGGGGAAAATATCAGACAGACTCACTTGAGGGGGTTGAGGAGGTAGCTCGGTTGCAAGAGTGGCTGCCTAGCAGGTGCAAAGCCCCAGACTCCATCCCCAGACCTCAAACACTGGGAACTGTGGTGTGTGCCTGTAATCCCAGCCCTTAGGAGGCAGAGACAGGAGGGTTAGAAATTCAAAACCATCAGCTACTACATACTATGTTCAAGGCCAGCCTTGTGCTACAAAGAAAACATGTCTTAAAACAAAACACTGGAAGAAGGTAGTTTACTTGGAGGCCAGCCTACAAAATGGGTCTCTGGCGATCCATCAGCAGTCAAATCTAAGAAACTAACACAATCAAGAGCAGCCCAAGGAGGCATGATGACTAACTGTAATGTGTCCTCTAGTGTGGAATGCAGGAAGACAAAGGGCATTATATAAAAACTAATAAAATCGGAATAAGCTGTGGGGTTTAGTTAGTAACCATGATCCCATGTTGGCTCCTTAGTCGGGCAAAATTTGCCAGAATGGCACCAGATGGTAAAGATAGAAGAAATTGGGTCAGGGTTATAAATGTCAACTCAACATTGTCCCCTCAACTTGTCATCAGTATCATCATCATCATTCTTTACTACTACTACTACTATTATTATTTCTCTACTGGAGGCTAGGAGTACTTACATGCCACAGCATACATATGAAGGTCAGGAGACAACTTTGGAGAATTGCTTTTTTCCTTCTACCATGTAGGTCTTGGGGATCGGACTCACGCTATCAGGCTCTGCGGCAAACGCAGATGAGCCATCTTGCCCACCATCTGCAGATCATCTTGAACTAGTCTAGAGTTCCGAGGATATTTTATTTTAAAGTGGGTCACATGTTTGAGTGCCAGGCTATACCCAAGACCCAGCTGTTTTTTGGTTCCCATTGTTGCCAACACTAAGGAAGCAGGTTGCTGATGCTCCTGTCTTAGGGTTACAATTGCTGCAATGAAATGCCAAGACCAAACCTGGGAAGGCAAGAAGGGCTTTTTGATTTACATATCCAGAGTCATAGCCCACTGAGGGAAGCTGAGAAAGGAACTCAAGCAGGGCAGGAACCTGGAGGCAGGTGCTGATGCAGAGGCCATGGAGGAGAGCTGCTTACTGGTTTGCTCCTTTTGGCCTGCTCAGCCTGCTTTCCTATAGAACCCTGGTCTACTAGCCCAAAGGTGGCACCACCCACAATAGCCTGGGCCCTCCCCCATCAATCACTAAGAAAATGTTCTACAGGCACGCCTACAGCTGGATCTTATAAAGGTATTTTTTCAGTTGAGGTTCCCTCCTCTCAAATGACTCTAGCTTGGGTCAAGATGACATAAAACTAGTCAGCATGGCTCCTCTGTCCCAATGTCACTTGGAGGGGGAGGTGATCATTTTTGAACCCAGGGCAAGTCCCTAGTTTGTTCCTCATTATCATTATCATGCCAGATACACATGGCAGGCACTAAGTCAATAATTACTGAATGAAGCCCAAAGTCTTGTCTAAGGGAGTGACCCAAGCAGAGAGCTAAGGTCATCCCTCTTCAGGGCAAGTCAGCACCGTGGCTCCCATCCAGAGAAGGAAGGCTTCTGGGAGGTGGGGTGCGTTGCTTCTGGAGACCCTGCCTTTGGGGAGCAAGCACACACATTTATGTAGGAACCTTGGAAAACTGAAGGAGGTCATGGAGGTCAGGCAAACTGACACCCTGATCACCATTCCCATCTCCTCAAGCAAACTCCTGCCCTTTGTACCCCAAAGGTACAGGGGTACCTTTTTGAATGCAGTCAACAAAAACTGTATGCAAAAAAATATCATAAAGTAGGACTTTTCCAGTGATTTTAGTCACCTGCTGCCTGACACATAGCAAACACTTCCCCGCTATCGAGGGCTACCACTTTCTCCGTTCCAGGCCATGTTCTGGGGAGATAGGCATTCCCATCTAAGCTTTTCTGGTACTTCTTACCACCCTGATTTTATAGAAGAACCAGAAAGCCAAAGACCTTGAGAAATGTCCAGGTCACAGCTAGGATAAAGGTTGCAAATCCAAGCCATCTAAGTCCCGAAACTACTTGTTACATAAAGCCAGTGTCCCTCCCTCTATGCCAGAACCTTCTTCCCAGAAGGCCTTGAACATCTAGAAACTGCTGCCTGCTTTGCAGTTCCTGGGCTCATTCCTTCATCTGTGGCAGACATCGGGAATCTTCAGGGTTCTCTGTTTTAAAACTTAATTTGCCCGTTCTTCCTCTGAAGGTATCTCTGATCCTCCTGCAGCGTGTCAGCCTGGACAGGCGGCAGGAGCAGAAGCCAGGGAGATGGACGCTTATTGAAAACACTCAATTAGCCAAGTTTAAAGGATGCAGCCCTGGATGCTCCAGGTCCATGCTCAGATGTTTAAAGTCACCCTCCCCCACCTCCATCTTTTAATAGCCTTTTTCCATATTTATTGCTGCCCTCTCCAGATACTTCAGACGTATCCAGCACTTGCTATAATTTGATATCTGCCCAGTCCCCAAAGTGCCTTCTCAACACATGCTCACCCAAAGCCACAGTACATTTAAGAGGTTTATTTTCCTTGTTACTGAATGGAGGCCTCAGGAAAGGCAGACTCATTCCAGCCTGAGGACCTTCCTTTACTGCCCAGTGGCCTCCGGCAGGAACGTTTTAATACATCACTTATTAAAATGGACCTTTGGCCTTGGCTCAGGGCACCCAGCAGCTCCAGGCACTAACTGACCACATCTACATGCTGGCCCCCTCTGACCCCTGATGTAGTCTGTTGTGCAGGATGGTGGAGACAGGCAGGGCGTCAGAGCAACACACCAACACAAGGACCTTTAAAGGCTGAAGGACAATAGCTGAAGCAGGGAACAGAGCCAAAGTCTGCCTGCATCCTTGTCCTGGTTGGTGGGCTCTATGTTCCAATCCTGCCTTTGCAGCTAACAAACCACTTGGCAGGAGTTGTCCTTTCTGAGACCTGCTTCCTACTGTGCAATCAGGGTAACAACAGCACCCATTGCCTGTTCTGTGGGGCTGTTGTGAGTCTGGCATTCAGGAAAAAAGCCCACATAATGCAGGTGGGTTTTTTTTTTTTTTTTTTTTTTTTTTTTTTTTGTGGCTGGAAAGTGAATATGTCTGGGTGTCTAGGGTTGTTGAGAAAAAGGATGAGAAAGTATCCAATGACAGCAGTGCTGTGATGAGGTACTGACAGAAACCACGCCTCCCCCTATAGAACAATCTCTTCACCTAGCCTCTGAACAAAAGTGGGCCCTGCCCCTAATTCCCTCCCCAGCACCCCTTGGCCTTCTAGGTGGGAAAGAGAATATGCAGCATTGCTTGGCTCTATGGAGCCCATAGACCTGCAATTCCAAAAGGGAGTGCCTGGGGTCAAGAGGGAAGACAGCCAGACTCAAGAAGAGGACCATGTGCCTGGGAAAATGAAGTTGGCATCCTCAAGCATCCGCAGGCTGGGCACTGCCAGTTCCAGCTCTCCCGTCAGTCCCAGTAATGACCACAGGATGAAGAACCCTGGGCTGGAACCCGCTGAGGCAATAGGACCTAGCAAAGGAGATGAGGCACTCACCCTCCCCTCCCAGGCCCCCCTAGAGCCCCTCTTGTGTAACCCCTCCTGTGAGGACTTTTACCTGATGGCTGAGTCATACACAAGCTCCTGTCACTGTGAGCTGTGTTGTGACTCCTTGGCTGACAGCTTTACAACAAACATATTAAAAGCTCCAGGCAGTGGGGCTTCTACATGCAAAACAGCCTGGGGTACCTCCTCCCAGGTCCTCTCCCCCATTCCCCAGAACCCTGACCAATCACTGCTTCCAGCTTAATAAGAGATGGAGCTACACCCCCCACCCCCACCCCCCGCCTTGTACAACAAGCTTTTCCAATGGGTGATTGGAGGCAGGGCAGCAGGTGCCTCCTTCTGACCTCCTGGCTACGCATCCCCAGAGAACAGACTCATCCTCAGGCACGTACCAGTGAGCTCTAGAAGTTCCAGTGTATCCCCCCAGCCCAGCCCCTAATGACGCTCAGTGGATGTTCCCAGTGGCCCCACAAGGAAGATTTCCATGTAAGTGTTGCCTTGTAAGTGTTGCTAACCTCCTACTTGAACCCATGAGGCAGAAGCTGGGTTATCAGCTCTTTTCAGAGTAGGAAACTGAGGCTAACAGAAGTTCCAGTTCAGAGAGCAGGGAAATCAGAGCTGTGAACTGAATCCAAGTCCAGCCTCCTAGCATCACTCTTAACAGGACAGACAGCCTCTCACCCCAACAGGATGGTCAGGACCTCAGCCAAAACTCAAAGCCCACTAAATTTATTCTCCGGAAATAGTTTGGTCCATCCAGCCCACTGACAGATCACATACACACACACACACACACACACACACACACACACACACACACACCACAATCTCCTCATTCCTGTCAGACGGACAGCAAGTACCCAAGAAACAAGGCCAAGGAAAGAGAGGACACACAGGAAGAGTTCTTTATTGTACACTGGAGAAATAGCCCTGTGTGCTGGTTCAAGGTGCAACATCCACAACCTGGGACTAAGAAGAAACTGGGGGCGGGGACCCCTTCAGGTCCAAAGTTGCAAACAAACCAAAAATCAAGAAATAAAATGGTAAAAGATTCCTCACGCAGGAGGCATTTTTTTTTTCTTTTTTTGCAAATACCATGCAAAACAGGCAGCTGGCGAGCCTTAAGACAACCCCTATAAATAACAGGAAAGACACTCCGAGCATTCCTGTGCAAGGACTCAGAGCACAGGGAAAGAAAGAAACCAAAATGCCTTTTGGCATTTCAAGATATTTGGCACTCTTGTGATTACATTTGTTTTTGTTTGTTTGTTTGTTTACAGTTCATTAAAGAGAATAAAGTGACACACTATTGGTGAAGGAAAGAGAGGGTTCACACAACAGACTGGGAGGGGGTTAGAAAAAGCTCAAGCATTTTTTTCTTTGTTTTTCTTCTTTTTTTGTTTTATGTTTCTGACATAAAAAAAAAGAACTTTACAGCAACAATAAAACACAAGCTGAGTGGTTCATCTGTTTAAAATAAAACAAGGACTCTCCCTAAGCATCATCCCTTAGAAAAGTTACCTTCTGCTCTTATACTCATTTCCGATAACTTCAAAAGATGACTGAAGTAAAACAGAGATCGTTTTCCCCAATTTACTTTTGTACATCCAAGAATAAACAACGTTAAAAAAAATAAAACTGGACAGCATGTCACATCCAAGTGCACAGGATCATTTTTGCAAGATTAAATAATGTAAACATTGGGAAAAGCCAAATCAGCAGAGACCGCAAGCACCTTCAAGTACTTGGTGCTGCTTCAGGAAGTGGTTCAAACTCCAGATCTATAATTGCACAATATTTACCATATATAAAAAGAAACAGGTATTAATTTTGACAAATAGCTGCAACTGAGACTTTTTTTCTTTATATGTGTGTATATAGTGATTTTTTAAATGTGTTTTTTTTTAACTTATATTTTTGTAGAGGAGCCCAGCGCCTTCTCCTCCTCCTCCTCCTCCTCCTCCTCCTCACACCTCATCTGTCTCCCGGCCTGACATGAGACACAGGTTGTTGATTTCATCGTAGGTAGCAAGCTAATAATAAATTTCAAAGTGCTTTCTCCTCCTCATGCTTTTTTTCAATAACTGTTATGGCCCGCCACTCTTCTTTTTTCTTTCCCTCAACTCATTGTCTTTGGGGCAGTTAGACACCAGGAGGTGCCTTGTCGGTCATATTTTTCAGCACGTCATCAATCCTATCATCTTCAATAACAACTGCAAAAAAAGGGGAGGGGAGAGAAATGTGAGAGAGCTTGGGCCTAGCCAGGGGTCTCAGACATTTGGTGTATGCCTACTAGGTGGGTGCAGAGGAGGGCGAGGAAGGAAGGTTGGCTGCTCCTTGCAGGGAGAGCAGCTCCATCATCCTCAGCTCCTATTCAGGAGCCCTGCCTAGCTCTGAACTGCCCCAACGTCTAACCCACCCGCTTTCTACCTGGATTCTAAGAAAAAGCGAGAAAGAGGGAGCCATCCCTGCAGGCAGGCTGCAGAGCGCACTCTGGCCCTGTCCTTTCCCAGCCCGGTGCATCTATTTACAAAGTATCCGTGGCTGGACGAGAAAGGAGAGGAAGGGAAACAGCTCTTCAGGTCACCGGTGCCGATGGACCAGTCTGGGTTCAGAGAAGTCGGGAGCCAGGAAGGAAGGCTGGGATCGTTTCCCACGCCGATCCACCGCTGGAGAGAGTTCAGGCCTGGCATGTGCGGGTGTCTCCCTCCAGCTCGCCTTCTCTGCGCCCAGGGCCGGTGGCCTCCGCCCCTCCGCTCTCTGTGCCACCGCAGAGGGCAGAACCTCCCTTCGCTGCGGCCTGGGGCTCTGCCTCCGGCCGGCCGTCTCTTTCACCTCTCTCGCCATCTCCACTTAGCCTTTCTCAGTCCCTCTAAGTCCACGGGATGACCCTGTCCAGGACTCTGGGTCTCTACGCCCGGGTCTCTAGGTCGGTCGCCCTCATTGTTGCAGCTGCCTCAGAGTCCTCCCTTAGACTTGAGTCCCCGGCTTGTCGTCGCTCCCGCTACAGCTCCCTAGCTGGAGCTTTGTCTCCGGCTCTCAGACCACCTCGGTCCCCCGGTTATCTTCTCCCTTCACCTCGGCACCCCAGTCTCTTCGGGCAGTACCCTGCGTCTGGGGTTTTCTGGGGCTTCTCCAGCTCCAATCACCCAAGCTAAACCAACCTTCCCTCTCCCCTCTGACAAGTAGCAGTGAAAAGCCCGTGCAGTCTGACCGGCCCCTCGCCTTCCCCCCCCCAGACCCCTCCCCCGCAGACCCCTAAGGATCCCCGGGACCCCCTCCCCCAAGGTGGCAGAGCAGAGCGAATGCAGCTGCGACTCCACTGCGCAAAAGGGGGAGGGGGTGTGAAATCTAAAAGCAAACTTTGGTGCGGTTGAGGACGCGAGTATAACCCTTGGGCCTCGGCTACTAGAGGCCACCACGCCCCCGGGTGACCCCGCGGCTGGCCGGGGCAGAAGCGGACGCTCGCCCAAGGCCGGACCCGCCTTCCGCCGCAGGAGGGATCCCTAGATCCTGCAGGAGGTCCCCCGCGGTCGGGGGACCCCTGCGCCCCCGCCAGGCCGCCACACCAGCACTGCAGGGGGTAAGGGGCGGAGAACTCACCGCGCTTGCTCCGGCCGATCTGGCCCAGTTTGGGCGGCCGCTTGCTCTGCCCGGCGCCGAAGAAGTTGTTGGTGTCCTGCAGGCGACACGAGAAGATCTGGCCCACGTCGCCGCCGTCGCCGTAGGGGCTCAGCTTCTCGTCGCCGTAGGGCAGCACCTCCGACATGGTCGCGTCCGGGGGCTCCGAGGCGGCACCTCCTCCGCCCGCGTCCCCGCCCGCGGAGGACAGGGTCAGCGGCGCTGGGGCCGGGGATGGCCGGCCGGGGACGGCCCTCGGGGCTGCCGCGGCGCTGGGGCCGGCGAGAGGCCGGGGGGACACCGCTTGGGGCAGGAGCGCGCAGCCCGCGCGAGCGACCCAGCGAGCGCCCGCAGCTGAGCTGCGCTGCGCTCGGGCTCCGCGCGCGAGTGGCTGCTGCTCCGGCGGCGGCGGGCAGGACTCACATCCTCGGCGCGCTCGGGCGCGGGGCGGGGGCCGAGCCGGGCGGGGCCTCGACGCGCAGGGAGGAGGGTGTCCCTGCTAGCCCGGAGGGCGCGGGACCGAGGGGGGCCGGCGCGGGCCGGTCCTGCCGCGGGTGCGGGCGGCGGCGGCGGCGGCGACTCGGGGACTGGGAAGCTGCAAGCGGCCGAGGGGGGAGGGGAGCGAGGAGGAGGGAGGGCAGGGGGAGGAAACCCGGAGGGAGGGAGGGAAGAAACAGAGAGGGCGACGGGGAGAAAAACAGAAAGACAGAGGGAGGCAGGGGGAGCGGCGGGAGGGGGTGAGGAAGGAGAGCGAAAAGAAAAGGGGGGAGACTAGATCTGGATCGGAGAGACAGAGCAGAGAAGCGTGAGCAGGGAGAAACAGGGTCGGAGAGGGAAGGAGGAGAGAGGGGGGGAAAGGGAGGCCGGGACCGAGGAGCAGCCTGCGAGCTGCGAGCGAGAATGCCGGCCCAGGCTGGAAGCGAGGCGCCGCAGGAGGGCGGGAGGGGGGGGACCCGTGGGCCTCGGGGAGAGATCCCTGGAAGCCAAGCGACGTCACGGGGCCGCGCCGGACCGCGGCTGGCTTCCTGCCCCCGCCTCCTGTCCCCTCCGTCCCGCCCGCTCCGAGGGGCCCCGGTGCGCTCCGCCCCTCCCGGCCCGCGCCCCTCCCGCGCGGTGTTTACCCGACCCGGAGCCTGTGCGCGCCGGCTCGGCGGGCTGTGACTCCCGAGGGGAACCCGAGGCAGCAGGAGGGAGGGGACCGAGGACGCACAGGCTGGGGAAGGACGCGGATGCTGACCTCTCTGGAGGCCAGTTACGAAGGCCAAAGATCCGAGCGCACCGAGGCGACCCGCGTGTACGCCTCTCCTTCCCCCCCCATCACACTTGTGCCCCACTTAGACTCTGCCAGACATCCCTGATACCACACCCTCTGTCCCCATGCCCACGGATCTGCCAGGAAGGCCCTTTCCTTACTTCTTGCCCCTCTGTGCTGGGCCCTGGCTCCCCCGGGACAAGAGGGAGGGGTGAAGAGGGGCAGCCCCGCCTCCCCCAGGAAAGGGGAGAGCCCCATTACGCCGGGCTTGCCCGGGATGCCCGGCTCCTAGCGCCCTCTGACTCCGCTGGGGACGTCCCAAGCCTAAGGCCCTCTGCCCTCCGGGACCTCCCTTACAGCAACAATTTTAATAAAACCCTGGGGAGAGACTGTGGCCTCAAAACCAGAAGCGTGTTCCTGCACCCTGAGAGGGAGACCCGGGCAGCCCAAGAGGCCTGGGAGGCGCATCTGCCAGCCAGATGGTAACTCCAAGGGGGCAAGGTGCATGAGGAGCGCTCATTAACTTCGCCTGAGCCCGGAGCACCTGCTCTCCCCGTGGAGACTAGACCTGCTCAGCAGAGCCGGCCTAACCCCAGAGAGAGATAACCAGTCCAAGGTCGGCAGCCTGCTGGAGGAGCAAGGCTAGGAAACTAATCCTTGTCACCAGTCTCCCAGCTCACCTAGCACACACCACACACACACACACACACACACTCACACTCACTCACTCACTTACTTTCCGGGCAGCAGAGGGGGAAGTTCCCATTAGCATCAAAAGAACTCCTTCAGGTTCACTCTTAATCTTAACATCTAGCACTCGAGTGAGTGGGGCTGAAGGAAAGATGCTCTTAGGTTTGGAAGAGGGGCTGCCTGAGAAAACTCAATTTAATATCCTCCTTCCACATACCCCCCAAAAAACTCTTAAGGGCTGGCTGGTTTCCAGAGGTCAGACCCCACCCAGGGAGAGAGGGGGAGGAGGTGAAGATACAGGAGAAAAAGCTATGCCAGGTGGAATAAGCCTGACCCCTGGTTTTCAGCCCGATCTTAAATCCCAACCCTGCAGTTCCCTAGCAGTGGGACTTTGGGCAAGTGATCTATCCTCTCTGAACCCCAATAGTCTCCCTTGTACTCTGGGAAGTGTGGCTGCCCAGCTGCCGGTGTGTCCCTCGAGACAGTTGAAGAGGGGGAAAGGGAAGTCGGGCCCCTGAGGCGGAGCTGTCAGTGGATGTGCCATAGGGAAATAGGAAATGGCCCCGTTTGTAAGCCAGTGCCTCTGACCATTCCCACCTCAGAGACACCTGTGCTGGGAAGCCTCCCTAGAGATCACCAAGTCCAAGCCTGCAATTCACACGTAGAAAACCAAAGCCAAGAGGGCCTGGGCTAGGCCTGAGTCCCACGAATTGTCAATGGCAGGAGCAGCAGGTCCCCAGACAATGGGGGTCCCCCTCCACAAGCCTCTGGTTCATTAAGGTCCTTCTGAGAGTGCCCTGAGGTTGGCTCTGAAGCCAAGGCTGAGAAAGATGGTAAAGGTCTCAAGTGCAGGGTGACAGGAACTGGCGAGCAGCTCTTAGATGTGTGCCAGCTTCTGCTTTGGCCCGAAGCATCTTTCATGTGTTATTGACCTTGTGTCTCAAAATCAGTGCCTCCCAGGTAGAAAGAGGAAAGGCTGTATGTCTGTTCAACTGATGGAGCAGGCAATGGGCGAGTGTCTAGGGACTGAACCAGGAGAAAGGGCCTCCTTCCTTGCTGCAGACCAACACAAAGCCATTTACAAGTTAAGTCCATACTGGAGCCCTACTGTGTAGAGAATAAAACCTCACAGTGAGGTAGAAGAGACAGCAGGTTCTAAACTGGTACAGTTATGTTTACTTTGCCTTGGGCAAATAAGGTTGAAGGTGGCAGCGCCCACATTCCCAATTCAGTGCCCACCTCTTTCCGTGAAACATGCATTGCTTCTAAGCATGAACACATGAACACTGACAGTTTGTAAGGCATCTCCCAGGCCTGGGAATGTAGCTCAGCGGTAGAACACTTGCCTAACTATTCACGATGCCCTGGGTGCTAGCTCCAGTCCTCCTGGAAAACATCTGGAGGCTATTATTATCTTTGACAAATCAGCTTTCAGAAAAGGGCAGGGCTGGGGGGGGGGATGGTCTGGCCCAAGGTCACATGGAAGTTCTGCAAGGGAAATTAGGAGTCCACAGGTCCATCACCTGCCCCAAACCCTCCGCCTGTCCGCATCACTCAATGTTAGACCTTCTGCTTCTTCCAGTCTTCAGCTGGGCTTCTGTCTCAAGCACTCCATTTCTACCTGTCTCCACTCCAGAAACCAGCAATTGTGCCAAAGATACCAGATACAATGCCCCCACCCCCACCTCAACTCCCACCCAGTGATAGATGATAGAGATAAAGACCACTTTCCTCCATGCCCGGAAAGACATTGCCATTACGTGATCTGGGAACATCAAGTTCAAATCCCTGGTCTGTCACTTCCTAATCCTGCAATCTATTCACCTCTCTCTGCCTTGGTTTCCTCTCCTATCGTTACTGTAAAATAATTTATTTTTTGGTTTTTCGAAACAGGGTTTCTCTGTAATGCTTTGGAACCTGTCCTGGAACTCACTCTGTAGATCAGGCTGGCCTTGAACTCAGATCCACCTGCCTCTGCCTCCTGAGTACTGTGATTAAAAGTATGTACCATTATTCTTGGCAGCTTTTTATTTTTATTTTCTGATAGTGTTTTTACACATTTTTTTAAAGCCTCGATTTCAACAGGAATGGAATCAAACCATGGCTGTTAAAGAGGGGACAAAAGGGAGGGTGACCCCATTCCAGGTCAGAGAGACCACAGAGCTCTGAACCCAAACTCCTCCCCATCCGAGCGACTGCTACCTGCTATCCCCAAATTCTGATGACCACCCTACACATAGCTCCATCCCCAGAACCTTGGAAAATGGCTGGGATTGTCACCTCATTCTTACAGAAAAGTTAAGTGACAGCCCAAAACCACCTGACAGTGGCAGCTCAAAGCCACCCTGACAACGAAAGGCAGAAAGAAGGTTCCAGGCTGGGGGCCAACCTCTTCCATTGCCGGGTAGCAGTGCCTCCCTGAGGAAGCTAGGAATTAGGAAAGCATGGGCTAGCTCTTTCATCTTTTACCTAACCCTAATCATGGAATCAATGAAAGAGATAACTCTCTGCAAGATGTAAAATCCTGTGTGCAAAATGTCTAGGAACCCGGAGGTCCTTCTGATTATGGGGAGAAGGCTGGGTCAGTCTAGAAACAGCACTGTAGCATCTCTCATGGTTCATCTTTGGGACAATATAGCATCATTTTGCACTTCCAGCCCAGAACCAGCTAAGAAGCTGTCTGGATTTGGGTCAGACCCAAGAGAGCTCACTTGTAAGGACAGAGATGTGCCCACCAGCTGCTGAGCCCAGCCTCCCACACAGAAGGCCAACGAGTATCGCTGTGAATGCATCCCATGGGAAGGCCAGGAGAGAAAGAGTCCTTTTCATCACAGAGAGACAGTGTGTCCCAGATGAGGGAGACAGCTGTCACTCAGAGGCACAGGACCAGGCCTGTGCCTCCCATCTCAGAAGCTCTACTTGGGAAGCCAATGAAACTGGAGTTAGTGGGGGCAAAGCAGGAGGGCAGCATCAGCTGGAGCCCCACCCCTCCTCCTTTCTGTGTAACCTGGAGACTGCACTGCCCTCCCCAGGCCAGAATTCCACTCAGCCATGAAATGAGAGAGACTGAGGCTCAGGCAAGGTACAGGATATATATATATATATATATATATATATATATATATATATATATGGGCAAGGGATAGCTCCGTGCAGTTCCTCTGCCCGTGGCCCTTGGGGTCTGCAGAGACGGATAGAAATTCCTGCATACAGGAAGAGTTGGTAGCCGAAGGGAGGCCCAAGTGCCACCTGGAAGGTCCTGCCTGGCAGCCCCTGGGCAAGTATGGTGGGGTGCAGACAGCTACTTGATCCAGGGGGTGGGAGCAGATCTGCCCAGGTGAGGAAGATTTACAGAAACCATCAGGAGCAGGATCCTAGGAACTAAAAGCCACAGGGAAGACCAATCCAAGCACCAAGCAGGAAGGAAGACAGGAGTGTCTTAGTGGCAAGGACCAGACCACGG